TCAATACCCCAAATGAAAGAGGAGATGTTACAATTGATACCCCAGAAATGCAAAGGCTTATAGGAGACTACTACAAACATTTATATGCCAACAAATTGAACAACCTAGAAGAAATGAATTAATTCTTAGAGACATGAGGCCTACTAAGACTGAATCAGAATGAAGTAGAGCATCTGAATAGATTACTAGTAAGAAAATAGGATTAGTGATCAAAAACCCCCCAACAAACTAAAATCTAATACCAGACAGCTTCACTGGTGAATTCTACCAAGCATTCAAAAAAGAACTAACACTAATTCTTAAACTCTTTCAAAAAATAGAAGAGGAGGAAACTCTTCCAAATTCAGTTTCTGAGAAGAGCAGCATTACCCTGATAGCAAAACCAGACAAGGACACAAGAAAAGGAAATTACAGGCCAATATTCCAAATAAATACAGATGCAAAAATCCTCAACAAAATATTAGCAAATCAAATGCAGCAATACATTAAAAGGATCATCCATCACAGCCAAGAGGGATTTATTCCAGGGATGCAAGGAGAGTACAACACCCACAAATTAATGTGATACATATATTAACAAAATGAAGGATAAAGATTAGATGATTATGTCAGTAGATGCAGAAAAAACATTTGACAAAATTCAACATCCATTTATGATAAAGCTCTCAACAAAATGGGCATGGGTAAATGCACTCAACAGAGGCAATATATGACAAGCCAATAGCTAATACAACACGCCGTGACTTTCCTCCAAGACCAGGAACAAGCCGTGGATGCCCACCTCACTGCTTTACTCAGCACAGCATTGGAAGCCTTAGCCAGAGCAATTAGGCAAGAAATATAAATAAAAGGCATCCAAATTGGAAAGAAAGAAGTAAAACTATCATTATTTGCAGGTAACATGATATTATATATGAAAATTCTAAAGACTCCATCGAATAACTGTTGGAGTAATAAATAAATTCAGTAAAGTTACAGAATACAAAATCAATACATAAAAATCTGTTGCTGCTGTACACTAATTACTAGCAAAGAGAAGTAAAGAAAATAATCCTATTTACAACTGCACCAAAAAGACTAAAATACTAGGAATAAATTAACCAAGGAAGTGAAAAACCTTTATGTTGAAAAGTATAAGACATTAATGAGATAAATTAAAGAAGACACAAGTAAATGGATAGTCCATGTTCATGGATTAGAAGAATCAATATTGTTAAAATGTCCATACTTCCCAAAGCAATCTACAGACTTAATGAAATCCCTATCAAAATCCCAATGGCATTTTTTCAAAGAAACAGAAAGAATCCTAAAATTTGTGGGGAACCACAAATTCCTCTGAATAGCCAAAGAAATCTTGAGAAAGTGGAATGCTCACTCAGACCCTAAGGTGTGGATCTCTGCATCGCAGGACAGCCTGGGATGACCAGTCTGAAGATTTTACTGGCCATCAATGTGATTTTACTGGTCATGAAGACACTGCAATAGAACCTGGTATGTAGGTTGCAACAGTCTTTGCCTCTTTGTGAATTATCTTCTAAAAGGCAAATCCAAGCAAGAAATCAAAAAGAAAAGGCCGCTAGGTAAGTACTGAGTTAATGTAAGGCAAGCTCATTAAACGGCCTCAACGATTATCTTCAGCAAATTATCTGGATGCATAAATAACCAGTAAGGAAAATATCTGACATAACCTGGGACAAAATATGTACCTCCTTATCCAGAGGTAGTAGAAACTTTGTGACAAAGTCTTATTCTCGGCTGACCCAAAGGCCTCAGGTAACACAGCCTAACACACAAAGGTTCTGTTTACGTTCTTAACACTTGCTTTTTTTCTAAGTTATACTACATGTCAATCATTCCTGAGACTATACACTTGATACCCTTTAAAAATGTTTTGAGTTTGGGTGTCGTCAAAGCCTCCTGGCCAAGGGAATCTTTCTCTCACAGTACATAATTTAAATGCTTCTTTAACCTGCCTCACTACTTCATACTGTCTTGCTTATTTGCTTATACATTATCTTTGTCTAAATGGAGACCTTCTCCTGAGAACAAGCTCCTAGAGAACAAGAAGTTTGCTAATTTGTTCATTACTTTAAGACCACTGCTTTTTTAAGTGCCTGGATCATAAAAAACAATAAACAAAAATATATATTTGTTGAATTAATTGTTTCAGGTGAGAGAATTTCATAAGATGACTTTTCTTAATTTCATCAGAGGAATAAAATCTTAACATTAATTTCAGAGATTCACTGACGTTGCCTCATACTGACTATTTTTGAGACTAGAATTTAAATGATTAAAAAGCCATTCCCATCTGCGTTCTTGTAGCAAAAGTTGGTCAAAGGGTATAAACTTTCAGTTATGCATAAGCTCTGGGGATCTAATGCATGATTATATAATTGATCATACAATACATATAGCATGATGTAAACATACATCACACACATGATGATTATAGTTAACAGTACTATATACTTACAATTTGCTAAGAAAGTAGATCTTAAATGTTCTCACCACACCGTAAACAAAAAAGGTCATCAGGTGAGGTGATGGGTGTGCTAATTAGCTTGACTGTGGTAATTATTTCACAATATGTGTATCAAACCATCACACTGAATACCTTAAGTATATGTAATCTTTATTTGTAAGGTATGCCACTAAAGCTGGAAAAAAATGCTTATTTTGGAGGTGGGAAGAAAGGACTATGAAAGGCTGACATCTATGGCTATTTTATATGGCTACAGAGCCAAAAATAAACAGATCAATACATGCTTTAGAATGTTCTGGGTATCTCAATTTTATGTTAGAAAAGTAAAACAAAACATTGATTAATTATCCTGACTGCCTGCTTGTTCCACACAGACCATACTAAGTTGAGAGAAATTTAGAATTAAAATACTGTAGTTGGCTAGCTGGTGAACCAATGGGTCAGAAATACGGGATGAAAAACAACTGTTCTTTCTGGAAACGGGGTAGGCCAGTGGTTCTCAACCATGTTGCTACTCACTGGCTCACACAAAAGGATGTTGAAGGCAACATTAAAAGTTCACATCAAGGATTGCAAAGCTTCTGTCAGAAGTTTTTTTCAAAAATCCATGAAATTTTTTGTTTCAATAAAAGATTAGAGGCAAACATATTCCAAATGAAGTTAAGAAAATGCTTCAACTAGCTGTCACCACAGGCCTTTACTTTCTGCCTTGAGGAAAACAGTGAGAAAAGACTATACATTAATTATTCTTCTCCAAACATGAGTCAAAGTCCTGCTCAGCTGCAAGTGGAGGGAAACCCGTTGTTCACTCCCATAGCTAAGTGACTCACACAAGCTCAGGGGTCCAAGATGCATCCATCAGGCAAAGAGAAGAAATGGTGGTTAACACCTGCTTTGTAATCTGGGATTTACTATATTGTTGCCTTCAAAAGAGGGTACAGTCGTATCCTGAGAGGAGAACTATGCCTGATTTTGGTGAATCCAATATTAACTCCACTTGATGGAGTGGAGACATCTCCCAAATTCTCCTGACACCGCCGAAATCCATGGAATGGTTTACTCATTCTTTAAATTTGAATATATTTTGGTCACAGTTCATAATCACAACTACATATATGCCATTTTATATGTATGTTTCTATTTCAAGAAATAGTTAAATTGTCATTACATTTTTAAATAGCATAGTTATTTTCTGGGTTATAAAGCCACACTATGCCTCAAATTCTGTGGGTTCCTGCTGAGATTAATTTGGCTAAGTCATTTCATTTATTTTCCTTTCCACTAGTAAATGCTTCTTTCTGCTTAAATACTTAACTTACGAAGGTGATTTGAAACTATGCTATCTTTATTTCCCAGGAAAGCATTTAGGAAGGTCTAAACAATACAATAGAGAGGATGATTATTTTCTACCACAGCTCACTGTATATGCTCTTGTTCTGAGTGTGTTAAGGAACTAATGTCACAACGTTAGTGAATGCATGAACTGCAGACAGTGTTCCTTCTACAGTTTTTGTATCAACTGGTCTTCATGCTTAAATTACTTAACTTTCATAATACTTAAACCACTTCTGCACACCCATTGTGCTTACCCAAAGCTCTAAAAAGAACTTTCAAATATCTCTCAAATAGTATCAACTAATTGAGAATTTAAGCTTAGAAATATTTAAAAATCATTAAGAATTACCAATTCACCACTGTATCTAGAGATCCCTCACTCTGTAGTAATGCAAACGAGGAAGCAGGCACTGGGGAGCTGAGAAACTGGGGCGACCGGCGCTCCGAGACCCGCCGCGCGCCGAATGGTCCCGACCGAGGCCTCGCGCTTGGGCACCTGCGAGCACGGCGGGATGCCACCACGCGGTAACCACCACGGGCAGGTCTGCGTGCATCTTCCACTACGCGTAACAAATTAGAATTACAGCACCTCATTTACTATCTCAGATCCGAATTTCAGAAGTCCAGGCACAGCTCAACCAGGCTCATTACTGAGGCTCACAAGACCGAAATTTAGGTGTCACTGGGGTGGCGGTACTACCCGAAGCCTGGAGCGCTCTCCTAACTCTGGTTGTTGGAAGAACGCAGTTTCTTGTGGCCGTACAATCGAGGTCGCACTTTTCTCATGCCGCTGACAGCCACAGGGTAGCTCTCACCTCGAGGCCCCCTCAGGTCTCAGCCAACGGGGCCTTTTTACAACACAGGCGCTTACTTCTTCAAGGCCAACGGACAATCTCAGACCCCTTGGGAGAGCTCACCTGATCAGGTCAGGCCCACCTAGCACGGTCTCCCTGCTGACACTCACATCAGCTGATTGGGGCCCTGAACTGCACCTGCAAAATCCCTTCAGCTTTGCCATGTAGCTAATAACGGCCCACATCAGGGGCAGAGCATCATCTAACAATAACGGCCCCCATCATCGGGGCCGGAGCATCGGGACATACTTGGTTTGTGGTGCATGATTGCTTAAGACAGCGCTGTGACCATGACCCCAAAACAAACGGCTGTGATAGGACTTCACACTTGTCTATATAAACTTTATGTTGTATATCACTTCACAATCTACAGAGTGCTTGCACGTATCCTGCATCACTTGGTTTCCATGGCCACCTGCCAGCCAGGCACGTAGGTATCAATCCGATGTTACAGGTGAAAAATCCAAGGCTCAGAGCAGCTGGGAGACTGCCCGAAGCTTACAGCAAATTAGCAGGGCAGGCGGGCTTCAGTCCAGTCTTTTCATCCTATCGCCCGGGCCTCTTTCGCTAACCTGTAGTTTTCAGGCTGAGTTCGGTGAAGGGCCAAGGAGAAGTCTCGGGAATTACCGCGAGAACTGAGGCCGACGCTGGGACGCAGGGCTCCGAGCTCACCCGGCGGTCTTACCTTTGTTCCGTGTGCTGGGGTCCCGCACAGTGTCAGAAACCACCGCACTGCTCCGTGCTGCCTTGTTCACGGTAAGGAAGAATGTTTACCAAGAAAATTAGTTTGAAAATGGCTTAGATAGCTATGTTTAAAATGTCAAGAATTTATTCCAGTATAGTTTTACAAATCTGTCATTTCTTGCAGCAGCTGATGAACCTTTTATAAAGACAAGAAAAAACAAAAAGAACCATATTACATAGTTGGTTTTAAACGTACACTTAGGAGAAAAAACGACAAACTCCACCTCGTTCCCTTTTTTTAGTAAGCGTAAAAAGTAGTACCTTCTTAATGTCTGGTCTCTTATTTTTCTTTTCGTGCAGACATTGACTGGCAACAGAATACATAGTTTCAATGGAAGCAGAATCAATGTCACTCATTTTCTTATCAATGTAATCTTCAATTGTCTTTTCTTCATCTTCAATTTCATCTTTAATGTCTAGCTTTAAAACAAATGTTAAAACTTCAAGAAGTTCAAATGAAAGTGAAAGAAATCAGAATGTATTTAATTGATCTACTTCATAACATGTACTCGTATTTTACTAGCTATTTTTATAACCTTATTAAGAACTGAAGACTTACTGAGAAACCCTATTTATTTACTCGCACATACACGCACACACACGCCCTCCAAGACACTTCCAGCTACCTGCTTTTCAGTTTCTGTACTTGGGTTACTGAGCGAATTGCTCTCATGTTCCCGTCGGCACGGTCGCCGGGCTGCCAGCACCGTGGTCTGCGGGGGGCACTCGTGACAATGCAGCTCCGGCCTCAGAACCCAGACCCCAGCCCTGCTCGGGCAAACTTCTCTACGGGCTCCCGAATCGTTCAGCCAGAGGAGGAGGAGGAAGACAGGGGTAGGGCCATGATGAAAACGTAACGACAGGAAGAGAGGCTGACCTAGGGTGGGCAGCGGGTGGAGTGGTGGCCCCCCAAAGGCATGGCCATCCTAATCCCCACGGCCCTAAACACGACTTCACTTAGAGAAAAAAATCTGCTGATTGTGAGATGAGACCATCCTGGATTGCCCAGGTGAGTCCTAATTCCACTCTCAGTGTCTGTACAAGAACCAAAAAGAGAAGAAAACAGGCAGACGAGACGATGTGACCAGGAGGCAGAAACCAGAGCCATGTGGGCACAGCTGACAGCCTCCCGACGCTGGGAGAGGCAGGGAAGAGGCTGCCTCACAGCCTCGGGAGGGGCAGGACCCTGACAAAGCCTTGACTTCGACCTCCGGCTTCCAGAACCATGAGGGAATCAACTGTCATCTTAAGCCCCAGTTTGTGGTAATTTTTTGCGGCAGACCTAGGAAATCGATACTGATGGAAACGAATATTTACGTGAGGTCGGCTATAAACTCTGCAGTTTCACCTTCCAGAAGATTAATTTTGAAAGTGTTTAGGCAATGGCAGAATCTGGTGACCTAAAGGCTCTTCAAGGGCCCCCTCTTCTTTTGGATATGCCTGGATTGGAATCTTACTACTTTATGGTCAAATCCTGAGTAAGTGATAGTATAATTTTTCCCTCAGAATTACAAGTCTCACCATTAGAGATGCACAAAACTGGTGCCTAAAATGGACTCTATGTTTTTCTGCATTTCATCCTTATTCAAGTCAAAGTTTTGAGGCTTTAATAATATTCTCAAGAAGAAAAAAGTCTCAAGTGAAAGGATGGAAAATGTAGGCCATCAGACAGGTCGGCCTTGTAGGACCGGACCGGCTGCAAGATGTAAAACACGGAGTTACTTTTTTATTTTCTTTTTTTACTGCCTTCCTGTATTTTTAATCTACATACTTTCTCTGTAGAATCCAATCCCCACCCAAGCTTTATCTGTGCCTGTACACTAATGGCTCACAAACTCTTTTCTCTAGACCATGCTTCTTTCCTGACCTCCAAAAACCAATGAGATGGAGAATTTTATTTATTTAATGAAGACAAAATTTCACTATGTATCACTGTAAAAAACAAAATATGAAAATAACTCAGAATATCATATTCTATAAATATACTTTAGTGTGAAATATTATGTAGCATGACTATATATTATTGCACAACTATATATCCAGGAAACCATGGAAAGCTTTACAATGTAGTTTCATAAGGGACACCAGCAACAATATTATAATACATAGATACTGTACTATGGCTTTTCTTAAAATAGTATGGCACCAAGCCTTTGAACAAATATACCTTTTGACTTTCTAATCCCCATTTTAGGGAAATAATCTGGGGGGGGGTGTATATGTGTATGTTTTATATTATATATATATATGTGTGTGTGTGTGTGTGTAGCCTGAATTTGTCACCCTGATTTGTCCCATTAAAACATAAATTAAAATCAAGTCAATGTAGTTACTTAATTTTAGGAAAAACATATATGATAGCTGGTATTTCTATAAACCTTTAATTTTATAAAAAGACCCTTTCAAGTTCTTAAAATATGTTACACTGGGAGAAAAGGGCATGGCATAACTTTCCTATAGTTTGAACGTTCAGTCTATGTTACTGTCCATGAATGCCTAATGTGACAAATAGGTGACTGTTTTTATGGTAACTTTATAAATACAATACTCCATAATAGAAATGGGTAAGAGAATTTTGTTAGTGATTCTATTCTGATTCAGATTTGAATGGAAGACATGTTATTTTCCCTCTCTGAGCTGAAAAGCTCGTTAGTAATCACTCTAAAAGTAACAAAATAAAAATACACTGGAGAAGATCTCAGGAATCATATGGTTCTATTCAGATTTTACCCACAAAGAAACTAGGACATAGACTATGTAGGTGACTTCTCCAAGCTTCACACATACTTCATGGTAGAGCTGAGATTGGAAATGTCCGATGCTCTTTCCATACGCCGCTATGTGATTGCCAGCAGAAAGACTTCCAATAGAGAATGACATTTCTAGATGTCAAATTTCAATATATAAATTTAGATTATATATGTAAAGAGAAAAGAAGTGGAAAGAAATGAATCTCCCATTTACCAGTAACTGAGGGTCACGGTGTTCATCCACAGCTGGGAGTCCAGTGATTATTTCCAGTAAAACCTACAAAGACCAAAAAAAACCCATTAATGTAACATTCCAGACAACATACAGAAACTGGAAGGAACATGGATTTTGATTATGAAATCGAACTGCATTTCCACACACCACATTGCGTCTTTTAGGCGTGTCAGCAGAAAGAACACGAGCTGTGGTCACTGCCTGCCCCTCTCCATCACGGACACATGGCACCTCCACCTCCTTGGTCCCACGAGCAGAGCTTTTCTGCAGCAACTTCCTCAGTAACCAGCCTGCTCAGCATGTGCTCTGGATGCTCTTTTTCCTGTCTTGCAGGGGATTCTTCACAACAATAATTTTCTCTGGCTTTTAGGAGAATATTCTTTTCTAAACCTCAGGTATATCCTGCAACCTTGTGCCTTAACTTCCCAGTGCTATGAAGCTAAATTTCTACATATGAAACTCAAATGAATAAATAGATGGACAGTTTCCCCAGCCACCCTGTCCACTTATCACTCCATCTGGAAAGTTACTAGGAACAGACTGGTAGATCAGAACATGCCAAAGTGTATTTCCTTTAAAAGATACTCCGTTTTTAAAATACAACACTAAAGTGTATGCTGTATGACATCTATTTTCTGTGCTGATTTAAGTTTCATACTAACTCATAAAGATAGTATGGCAAAAAAAGAATTTCTTGAAGTAATTTCAGAAATCAATTGAAAAGTTTTACACTCACAGAAGTTTTTATAACTTTCTTGTTTAACTAGGGGTTAACGTGAACAATTTACTGGTTTACATAGGAAAGCTAGGTAAGACAGGCGTATTCAAAATATTTTACTTCAGATCACAGTTACAGCCCAAACGATTATGGTTACTAGTTACATGAAACTCACCACACCGAAGCTGTAGATGTCAGATCTTGGGGTTATTTCTCCTCGCAGAGCTTCAGGCGCCATGTAGGCTGTTGTTCCCACAACTGTGCTGGTCATGACCGTCTGGGCAAGCTTGTCGGAAGCCCGTGCAAGCCCGAAGTCAGACACTTTAGCTGTAAAGGCTTCATCTAATAAGATGTTTGCACTGAAAAAATACAAGTTTTCTTTTCAAGCAAGTCAGATGGTTCCCTAGGTGTATGAAAGCATGTATGCATGTATTTACAGATTGTGCCATTTTCTAACACACATCATAAAAGCCTGAAATTTGGGTAAATAAACCTAGGTTTCAGAATAAAGGTAAAGGGAATTGTCTTCTTTTTGCCTCTTGAGGAAAAATTTTAGGAGAATAAAAGTGACATAAAACCTTAGTGAGATATTTTCATATTTCACAAATAAAATTTATTACAGGGTAACTTCCCTCAAAGTCTCCTGACACCATTTTAATTCCTTACCTAACATTTCTCAATTCATATAAAACTATTTCCAACCAAAGTATTTCAGTTATTCATTTCTTTCTTCCTTTTTTTGGTATTATCTGAAATCTTTTCAAGAGGAAAGAATATAGCTAAAAGATTTTAATTTATTCAGCATATGCATTCACTCACCCACTCACACTTCCATTCAACAAAACTTTATTGAGGACTCCCTGTGTAATACAGCATTAAGGTTAAGGTCGGGGATGGACACGGAAGGAATCTTTAAATCTTGTCTGTGCTAAGAGTATATGAATAAAAATGTAAGTATTCCAAACCTTTTAATATCTCTATGAATGTGGTGGTTTTCATGTAAAAAACTGATGCCATTTTGTGCTGATTTAAGTTTCATACTAACTCATAAAGATAGTATGGCAAAAAAAGAATTTCTTGAAGTAATTTCAGAAATCAATTGAAAAGTTTTACACTCACAGAAGTTTTTATAACTTTCTTGTTTAACTAGGGGTTAACGTGAACAATTTACTGGTTTACATAGGAAAGCTAGGTAAGACAGGCGTATTCAAAATATTTTACTTCAGATCACAGTTACAGCCCAAACGATTATGGTTACTAGTTACATGAAACTCACCACACCGAAGCTGTAGATGTCAGATCTTGGGGTTATTTCTCCTCGCAGAGCTTCAGGCGCCATGTAGGCTGTTGTTCCCACAACTGTGCTGGTCATGACCGTCTGGGCAAGCTTGTCGGAAGCCCGTGCAAGCCCGAAGTCAGACACTTTAGCTGTAAAGGCTTCATCTAATAAGATGTTTGCACTGAAAAAATACAAGTTTTCTTTTCAAGCAAGTCAGATGGTTCCCTAGGTGTATGAAAGCATGTATGCATGTATTTACAGATTGTGCCATTTTCTAACACACATCATAAAAGCCTGAAATTTGGGTAAATAAACCTAGGTTTCAGAATAAAGGTAAAGGGAATTGTCTTCTTTTTGCCTCTTGAGGAAAAATTTTAGGAGAATAAAAGTGACATAAAACCTTAGTGAGATATTTTCATATTTCACAAATAAAATTTATTACAGGGTAACTTCCCTCAAAGTCTCCTGACACCATTTTAATTCCTTACCTAACATTTCTCAATTCATATAAAACTATTTCCAACCAAAGTATTTCAGTTATTCATTTCTTTCTTCCTTTTTTTGGTATTATCTGAAATCTTTTCAAGAGGAAAGAATATAGCTAAAAGATTTTAATTTATTCAGCATATGCATTCACTCACCCACTCACACTTCCATTCAACAAAACTTTATTGAGGACTCCCTGTGTAATACAGCATTAAGGTTAAGGTCGGGGATGGACACGGAAGGAATCTTTAAATCTTGTCTGTGCTAAGAGTATATGAATAAAAATGTAAGTATTCCAAACCTTTTAATATCTCTATGAATGTGGTGGTTTTCATGTAAAAAACTGATGCCATTTGCTGCATCTTGAGCAATCTTGCATCTCATGTGCCAAGAAAGTGGTGGAGTATCATCCTTGTGGAGTAAGAAACAAATCAATTAAAAACAGAGGGGGATAAAAAAAACTATAGAAAAACATACAACATAATATATTTCTAAGCAGCTACTAAAAAAGATATTTTGTCACCCAGAATTCAGGACAATTGTTTTAAGTTGTCAAAAAATAATCTCTAAAAAAGATCCAACGAGGGGTAGGATTCCTTATTTGACAAAACACATACATAAGAGCATCTTCATAGTCTAGCCTTGACTGGCAATTTTACATTTAGATCATCACCAAATAGGACGGCCATCCCGACTGTGTACACACCGACTATATAATATCACGGAGCAGGAAGTGTTAGGATTAATGTGGCTAAGATCCTGTCCCAGTGGGTATTAGTATTCCGACGCAGAGACAGAAAGCCAAACAATCCGATGAACACACATCTTACCAAGCAAGACAGTCTGTCTAGCAATGAGCCATTAGGCATGAAAACATACACTAAGCAGAGGTCGTCTCCGTCACTTGAGAAACCAAGGAGTTCTACTAAGTTTTCGTGTTGACACCTGCGACAAACAATTTCCACTCAGAATTACTGGACACACACAGATTCAGCTGTAGGCTGGGAGTGAGCCCCCCAAGAGCCTCAACAGCAAAGAGAGCAGGTGCATAATGACGTGCTATGTATCACTACGATATGATGTCTCTGTCTACAGTATCTTTATATAAGTTTATTATAACTGTTTATAATTTTCTGCAAACAATTCTTTCAGTCAGTGTTGATCAACATTAGAAGCATAACGTCTTTCTATTTTATATTAAGAGCTCAGTAATTTAAATCATTGGAACTTCGGGCAGTTCAGTTAAGGGCGAGGCTTATATTTAGCTTATTCCCAACGATACCACAAACAAGATTTCAAGCAGCCTATTGAAACGTGCTTAACAACCCTTTCAAGAATTCTCTTAACACCTCCAAAGCACCTATTTACAGACATCTGATGTTTAATCACATCTGATTTATACATTTCTGATCTTTAATCATATCTGGTTATTTATCACCTAATTTGAATTTCCTATATACTTGAGAATAATGAAACTAAAGAGAGCTTAAGCATAACAGAACTGCAGGCATCTGTGGTATAGTAGGAAAAACTGGCCTCAGAATTCCAAGTTCTAAGTTTAAAGTCCAGCTCTGCCACATCCTGGGTAGGAGACCTACAGCAAATCACAGCCTCTGCGCCTCACCACCCTCCCTGCTGGATGTGGATAATAATATCTGTTATATAACATGGATGCTGTGAGACTGGAACAAGCAAAACATATGACAGCCTAGAAGTCTACTGAGAAAGTAAGTATTCCACTCAAGTGCTTACTCATTTTGTTCCTTCAAAATTATCAGTATTTCTGGAACTTCATTATTTCAAATACAACTTTGATTTGAAATCAGGGCCCATCCTCATAAATATTCTACAAAGAGCAAATTAAAATGGTAAGCACTCTAGTAAATTGGCATAGTTAAAAAATGTGCAGATAAAAATTAGATTTAAAACATCTGCTGAATTTATACTATATTTAAGGCACTATGGTGATGCACCTGCTTTATTAAATCCTCATAATAACTTAATGAAGTATGTACTATTACTATCTCATTTTATAGATGAAAAAACTAATGAAACAGTTAAGAAGCTTGGCCAAGCTCATTCTGATAGTAAGGCCAGACACTGGCACTTATTAAAAAAAGTAGTAATATTCAATGCTGATGAGGTAGCAGTGAAGTTTGAAATTATAATACACTGTTGATAGGCGTACAAATCATCATAACTTATCTACAAAGCAGTTTGGATATATACTTGGAAAGTCTTTTAAAAATTCGTGCATTCTGAACCAGTAATTCTCCTTCTAGGACTCCATCCTGATGAAATAAGCACAGTTTGCATTCAAAGATTTATAGAGATTTAAAGAGGCTTTAAGTTGCAGTACTGAAAATGAGAAGCAAACTCGGCAGGGTAATGGTTAAATAAATAACCTCATATATGCTAGATAATTAAAATTAATGTACAATAATTTAAAGTGTTTTGGAATTGCTTTTAATGATGTGGGGAAAATGTTACATATACATCATAGAATACTAGCAATGGTTATCTCTAAGTGATATATTTAAGAGATGATTTTTATTATTTAAATAATATTTTCCTGGATTTCCCAGATCATCTACCTTGAACAAGCTGCTTTTAAGAATGGAGAGTCAGGACAGGGATGGGGAAAACCAACCCTAAAAGCAAGCGTTCTGATTTTCTTATCAGTGTACATTATTTTTATTGTGAGTGAATAAATTCCAGTTTATTATTTCTTTCTTGAGATTAAACAGCTAGAACTGTAATTTATAGCAAAGGGTCTAATGAGTGTAAATTGGTAAATCCCATTAGGATTCATAGCAAAAGTTCAAGCTCTGGAATCAGATAGATCTGGACTTAAAACTAAGCTGTAATATTTACTGGCTATGTGGCCTTTGGTAGGTTATTAAAAATTTCTAAATCTCTGAGAAAAAAGTGGGGGGGGGCAGCTTATAATAATTGTTGTGAGGATCAAATGAGACAATGCACATAAAATGAACTGAACAGTGTCTAGATTGAATACACTCGCATGTCCATCGCTGTAATTATCAGAACAAGTTTCCTGACTTGTTTCTCCTGCTCTTTCTGATGACGCCCAACAACTTAAGAACGGCAGGACAAGGTCTTCTAAGGGTCCCTGCAAACAATTTCCCTGGCCTTTGGGAGTTAAGGGCATACCTAAGGGCCTATTACTGTATACCTTTTTTTTTTTGGTATCTCTATAATTTATCTCTCATGAATTCTGGGAGTTTTTTTGGTATCTCTACAATTTATCTCTCATGAATTCTGGGAGTTTTTTTGGTATCTCTACAATTTATCTCTCATGAATTCTGGGAGTTTTTTTGGTATCTCTACAATTTATCTCTCATGAATTCTGGGAGTTTTTTTGGTATCTCTACAATTTATCTCTCATGAATTCTGAGAGAAGAAAACATGGTAATGATGGTTGACAGTTGACATTCCATGCAACTTTGCTATGATTTAAAATAATGACTGCTTATAATCTGCAGGCATATGAGTATACATAGTCATAGAAGTGTAGAGCCAAAGTTCTTTGAATCCCTCTAATCTAAATCCTTCACTTTAATCTTACACATTTGAAAATACCACGAGTTCATGGCACTCCGCCTCCCTCATTCCCCGTCCTGCTCTTCTCCACGACAGCACTGCCAAATCAACTTACTTTGCCATGACTTTTATTTCTTGATCAAACTGTTGTTTCAGTTCATCAGTACTAATGTCAACCATCTGAAAAAAATAAAATAATATACAATGTAATGAGTCCAAGGCTCCTAACGCTATAAGGAGGGTTGAAGAGTTTGTCTGGTTGATCCACTTTCTTTAAAAGACTAAGGCATTATTCTCCCTGTTTTACAGAACTGAGAACAAGAAATATTAGTGATTTGCTTAATTTTCCATGGCCTTTTAGTAGAAGGAAAAAACCTTATAAAACATGTAATAACCTTCTACACTTCACTGGATTATTGTGGAAACAAAATGAAATATGACACTTGTTTGCATAAGTGTTTTGAAAAAAACATGCAGTGTACCAGAAAACAAGCAAATTTGAAGGCAAAAAGAATAACAAAACCTGCGAAAGTATTTGCAACGTATGTGACAGAGGCAACTATCTTTATTACGTAAGGATACACTGATTGTATTGGTGTTTTTGGAGTATAACAGTTACAATATAACAAGTCAGTAAGTCAATGCTGAACAATCTAATAGAAATGGGAATAAAGGACATAGACAAGTCATGTTTAGTCTTGGTTTCTTACTGTGTATTTTCTAAACTTTATTTGTAAATCAGAAAAGCAATATAAGAAAGTTAATTTTATATAATTTTCTTAGTATCTTAGCATTTTAATCTTCATTATGAAGCACTGTGTAGAACAGGGCTTCTCAACTTTATTTTGTGAATCTCCCAAACTTGTATGTGTGATTACATGTATATATGGATAACTACATTTATAATCAGGGGCAGGGTCCATAGCTTTCAAAGACTTTTAAATACTGAGAATTACTTAGAATGATGTTTATTTAAAGAAAATATGCCCTCAAATAATATACTTCCTAAAGGTTAATTCAAGACTTATCATACAGCACATCAGGGAGCAACTCTTGCGCTAATTCTTCTCGTCCCTGGAAAGGTGACTTACCGCCGTGAGCCTCTTCACCGCTACGGTCCTGCTGTTCACAAGGCCCTTGTACACGACGCCAAACCCTCCTTCTCCCATTTTGTTTCCACCGACAGAAACGGGTCGTTCATCGAAGTTATTCGTGACATTCTTCAATTCATAAAATGAAAAACTGTGAAAACCTAGGTCCATAAAATAAGGAAAAAAGTGCTTCATAAAATAGAAATTGGCTATAATAACTTCAGTATTTTCTTAACGTGGATATTTCACATATATGCAATTATTTACAACTTTGGCCTAGGCATAACCGGAGAGAGGAAAACCCGTTTTTTTAAATAAAAATTTTAAGCTTTACCTTAAAAATCCTTTTTGGTGATCCTCCACCCAAAACTCTAGTCACCCATTTTCTTTTTAAAATGACCCTTCCAAGTCAGGTAAATGTTTGACTTATTTTTTCCTTGGCTTCTGTGGCTGGTCGTTCGCCCTTCTGCCTGTCCTCACCCGCGCACTAATGAAGTGAAGATGGCGCTTCACAGACCAGGAGGAAGAAGCCCACGGAGAGCCGCGGCCAGCGCACACGCACAGATGGGTTCGTTTCTGAGCTACGATGGTTCAAGGTCGACCCATTAGTGGAAGGCGCTGCAAAGGTTACCTACGTGTATCACTAAGTTCTGAACAATTTTCTGGACTTGAGGAGTCGCAGGGCACAGAGTTTTGTTCAGGATTCTGCACAGAAACCACGGGTGTCTGGTCTCCGCCGTGGGGAGGCATCTGCTTCTGCTGAATTGTTACAGCTTCTTCGGAAGGTAATGTTGTGACAGTTTTGGGAACAGCAACTGCCAAACGAGACAAAATACAAGCTGTCCTTCCCCAAGAAAAAGAGTTTGTGAGGAAGTTGGACTCGCAACTCGGTGCCCTGAACATCATTCCGGTTTCACACGGCAGTCCCATATGCTGAGCGCGCCCCAGAAGCTACCTCGTCGGAGTTACAGTTTAGATAAAGATGAGTAGAGAGGGTAAGAAAGTGTTTTCAGAAAGGGGTCCATACACCACCTGCATCAGAGGCCCTGAGGTACTTGTCTAAAAACATAGACTTTAACCCAAGTCAAGGATCCTGAGCAGTGAGGTCTGGAATAGCCGGCAGGAAGCTGCATGCTCGCCAAGACCCAGCACCCCCCCTCGCACACTGAGGGGTGAGCGCCATTGGCACAAATGGCATCACATGGACAAAAGTAAGGTTATGAGGAAGCAGGTGCACCCCGACCCACAAGGAAATCACGGCCGCTGAGTCCCGGAGGGGTGGAAACTAAGGGTGAAAAACGCCAGAGCTCAAAACCATAACTAATTTCCGTCCTTCTAATTCCTGCGGGCGCAGAGTCACCTGACGGTGACGGTGGGACCAGACTCCACCGCGAAGCCCCCACTTTCCTAGCAGTGAGTGCGCAGGGTCCCATGCCTGGGGTACTTGAAAGAATGGGAGAGGGTCTCAAGGGGAATGTTCATCCCTCTGAGAAGAAAGTGAGAGTAAGGAGAAACGCCCCTGCCTCGGCCCGCGCCCTCCCGCCAACCCGCGGCGCTCTGGGCACACTCGGTTTACCTGGTAGCAAAAGACTTGCAGGGGCAAAAAACTCATTTTGGACCAAAAGATCCACGAGATCACCAACTGTGCAATTCGTGGTGCCCCAGTCAAACAGTAATTCACAAGTGGGGCTTTTTCCAGTCTGGAGTAATGCTTCAAATCTCCTTAAAAGAAGTGACAAAGGAACAAAATCAGCATGTAAATGGTCAACCTGGAAATAGGAATCACTCCCCCACCCGCTTCACCCAGGGCATCTCCTCAAACAGGAAAGGATGGGGCAGCAGCACCGGCGAGAATTACAGGGACCAGGGCAGACGGGCGGCAGGCAGACAGACGCTGAAGGTGCTGACGACGCGAGTCAGCACACGCCGGGTCCTGAGCATTCGCTCCGTGCACCACCGGAGGCACACGCACGAACGCATTTAGTTCTCATATACCGACTACCGTCCTGCTTTGCTGAGAAAGGCGGGTGCGGGGAGGCAGGCAGCCGGCCCGGGCCACACATCCGGGGCGCTGCGTCCAAACTGAGCTGCAAATTCGGATCTCACTAAACGCAGGGTTATTGGCTATAATAACTTCAGTATTTTCTTAACGTGGATATTTCACATATATGCAATTATTTACAACTTTGGCCTAGGCATAACCGGAGAGAGGAAAACCCGTTTTTTTAAATAAAAATTTTAAGCTTTACCTTAAAAATCCTTTTTGGTGATCCTCCACCCAAAACTCTAGTCACCCATTTTCTTTTTAAAATGACCCTTCCAAGTCAGGTAAATGTTTGACTTATTTTTTCCTTGGCTTCTGTGGCTGGTCGTTCGCCCTTCTGCCTGTCCTCACCCGCGCACTAATGAAGTGAAGATGGCGCTTCACAGACCAGGAGGAAGAAGCCCACGGAGAGCCGCGGCCAGCGCACACGCACAGATGGGTTCGTTTCTGAGCTACGATGGTTCAAGGTCGACCCATTAGTGGAAGGCGCTGCAAAGGTTACCTACGTGTATCACTAAGTTCTGAACAATTTTCTGGACTTGAGGAGTCGCAGGGCACAGAGTTTTGTTCAGGATTCTGCACAGAAACCACGGGTGTCTGGTCTCCGCCGTGGGGAGGCATCTGCTTCTGCTGAATTGTTACAGCTTCTTCGGAAGGTAATGTTGTGACAGTTTTGGGAACAGCAACTGCCAAACGAGACAAAATACAAGCTGTCCTTCCCCAAGAAAAAGAGTTTGTGAGGAAGTTGGACTCGCAACTCGGTGCCCTGAACATCATTCCGGTTTCACACGGCAGTCCCATATGCTGAGCGCGCCCCAGAAGCTACCTCGTCGGAGTTACAGTTTAGATAAAGATGAGTAGAGAGGGTAAGAAAGTGTTTTCAGAAAGGGGTCCATACACCACCTGCATCAGAGGCCCTGAGGTACTTGTCTAAAAACATAGACTTTAACCCAAGTCAAGGATCCTGAGCAGTGAGGTCTGGAATAGCCGGCAGGAAGCTGCGTGCTCGCCAAGACCCAGCACCCCCCCTCGCACACTGAGGGGTGAGCGCCATTGGCACAAATGGCATCACATGGACAAAAGTAAGGTTATGAGGAAGCAGGTGCACCCCGACCCACAAGGAAATCACGGCCGCTGAGTCCCGGAGGGGTGGAAACTAAGGGTGAAAAACGCCAGAGCTCAAAACCATAACTAATTTCCGTCCTTCTAATTCCTGCGGGCGCAGAGTCACCTGACGGTGACGGTGGGACCAGACTCCACCGCGAAGCCCCCACTTTCCTAGCAGTGAGTGCGCAGGGTCCCATGCCTGGGGTACTTGAAAGAATGGGAGAGGGTCTCAAGGGGAATGTTCATCCCTCTGAGAAGAAAGTGAGAGTAAGGAGAAACGCCCCTGCCTCGGCCCGCGCCCTCCCGCCAACCCGCGGCGCTCTGGGCACACTCGGTTTACCTGGTAGCAAAAGACTTGCAGGGGCAAAAAACTCATTTTGGACCAAAAGATCCACGAGATCACCAACTGTGCAATTCGTGGTGCCCCAGTCAAACAGTAATTCACAAGTGGGGCTTTTTCCAGTCTGGAGTAATGCTTCAAATCTCCTTAAAAGAAGTGACAAAGGAACAAAATCAGCATGTAAATGGTCAACCTGGAAATAGGAATCACTCCCCCACCCGCTTCACCCAGGGCATCTCCTCAAACAGGAAAGGATGGGGCAGCAGCACCGGCGAGAATTACAGGGACCAGGGCAGACGGGCGGCAGGCAGACAGACGCTGAAGGTGCTGACGACGCGAGTCAGCACACGCCGGGTCCTGAGCATTCGCTCCGTGCACCACCGGAGGCGCACGCACGAACGCATTTAGTTCTCCTATACCGACTACCGTCCTGCTTTGCTGAGAAAGGCGGGTGCGGGGAGGCAGGCAGCCGGCCCGGGCCACACATCCGGGGCGCTGCGTCCAAACTGAGCTGCAAATTCGGATCTCACTAAACGCAGGGTGAGCTCTCAACCCTCTGAGCTATATCACCTTCCAACAGGACTTACTAACTCTGCTGGCCATGTGGTTTTTAATAGACAGCTTTAAGATACAATATACATAAGCTTGGATATTTTATTATTATTCCTTTGATCTTAACTATTTCAGTTGAAGAAAAAAAATATTTTGGCTTTCCATTCCCATTTCTTTAAAAATTAATTTTGAGTATTTAAAAACTTAAATTGCACAGCTTTTTGGTTTTTCTCCATATTTTTTATTTTGTAAAATTCAAACCTACAAAAAAGTTGAAAGAATAAGACCATAAACAACCATTTACCGTGCACACAGATTCGTGTGTGTGTGTGCGTGCGTGTGCACATGTGTAGACCAGATGCCTTGTAGACCGTCTCACAGCCTAGTTTTGTGGAAGCGCTTTCACATAACTGAACACTGATCAAAGTTTTCGGTAAGAGCACTAACTAGGTGACGATGTGTTCTCACCATGCCCCCTGTGCAGGCACATAGTGGCAGTTTGTACCATGACAGCTGACACAGTCTGATTACTTGGCTGAGGTGGTGTATTTCAGATTTTTCTCTACTGAGTACCTTTTACCTTCGCAATTCGTACTTAACCTGCGGATAATCCTTTGAAATCTGAATATTCGCTCATCAGCAACCTTTTCCCCTGCCGGTTGGGCTCTCACGGAAGAGCCTGAGTGAATCAGTCACTCGGTGGTGGTTTCGAATGGGTAACTTCCTAATTCTATCAGTCTTTCAATAATTATTTGCTGCCAGTTTTCTGTAAAGAAGGGCTTTTTCCCCCCATCACCAACGCTCAATGATCCCCTGAAAGTGCTTAACCGTAGTATCAACAAACATCTTTAAATATTGGTTTTCAAGGTTTCAGTTTAAACTTCTGCCAAGTAATTTAACATGTTTATCCTTTAATGTGAGGAAATACTTCCTAGAAGGGCTAATGTAGGAACTAGGCTTTTAACCACTTTAGGTTCTTTACCAGGTTAATACTGAGAATCACATTTCATTCTCTCTTCCTTCCAAATACAGACTTTGGCATAGTTTTGAGCTGATGTAACTGGCAAAAATAAAATCTGTACTTTTACAATAAATCAAGCAGAGACAAATAGAGAGAGAATGGAAATGATCTGAAGATGGTGTTGAAAAATCCTGGCTAAGAACTAAGAATTCTGTTCACAGATGTACACATTTATGAGTAACTTAAAATGTCAACTTGAAGAATTCCCAAAATACAGTGTTCAAGTGAATTAAGAGATTCACACACTTAGATGTTTAGGCTCCAGAATTTTACTAGGGCTTCTTATAGCACCGTTATGTCACTTCAGCCTGGAAATGACGTGCGTGCGACAGACTGAATGGTCCTCGGCTTGCCAAACAGAACAAGAGTGGGACTCTTACTACTGACAGAAGAACTTATTTGCAAGATCACAGTACTGTCCTAGCTGATATATTGGAGAACACAGCAAATAATGGCAAAAAAAAAAAAGGACATATTACTATTCTCTCTCCTGCAGAGAGATTTACTTTCTTAACTGTAACTTTAGACAGTATTTATACCTATGAATCATTCTAGATTTTGATGTAAGAACTGAAAAAGGATTCTGTAGGTTACCTTATGTGAAACTGATTGTATCTGTCATCCCCAGATGGCTTTTTAATGGCTACCGCCAGCTTCTTCCACCCTTCTTGAGGGTCCAAGAAATCCGACAGCTTCCTAATTAGCCCAAGACTGAGACAGCGCACATATGTCGATGGTGTTATCGGTCTGCTCATCTTCTATTCCTACAATAAGGAAAATTCTCATTAAAATTTTACAGAAGTGTTAGTAACGACATCAGTAAGTATATCACACTTTGCTGTAACATATGGAAAGTTCACAGGTGATTACACCGTAATAAAGGAACACTCCCAGGTCAACTAGTTGACATCCGAAGAGGAAATTAAAATCGTGGTTACTTTTGCCTAATTGTCCTCTTGCCTCACTTTCGTTCTCCCCCTATAAATAGCAATAAAAAAAATTGAAGTATTTTTACTTTCTGACAATGCCATTTTCTGAGTGAAAACAAGAAGTTTACTTTTTCAGAAAAATTCCTGTGGACATATTCAGGAATTGAATCTATTAATGAGATTTGCTTTTCAATGGAGTTTTTTCTCAATCAGTATTTGTTATTAAACATTTATGTGACATTCCTTGGTGGAAGTAAAAAATAAAAAAGTCTTGAAATAATCTGTAGAGCTTTGAAAGATATGGTCTATCCACAAACATTTCACAGAACATACCCTTGATTCCTTCACACATTTTGAGTTCATCAGACTCGCCCGATTTCAATTCACTTCCAACTAACCAAACCCTATGGCTTACCACTCCATGTTCTACAAAACCTATAAACCCTCAGGTCCCTTTTTCTTCGGCTGTTCACCCTGGAGACCTGCAGGCAGGGTGAAATATCGCAATTTTACTTATACAACAGTGCTGCTGAATACAGCTGCAGAGAACGAGGTAACGGAGCAGACAGGTGTGAATACAAGTTTTGGGGACTTCCACTAGGCCCTGAATACCGCTGCTAATCCTTTTACTTGACTTTGCTCACCACCCTTAGCACCTGTGTCACACCTTTACCTCTCCGCATGGTTTTGATTTCCATGTCCCTCATTCTCAGCAGGTGGTGACCTTTCTAATTTATCAAGACAGGCTCAGATATTCTGTCCATTATAATCCTGCTCCCCTATGTTTTTATTTAAAAAATGCAATATAATTTTTGGAGTCGACAGTATAGTAAGCAGCAGTCTCCCTGCATCCTAAGCCTCTATACCAGGGCTCTCTCCTCTTCAGCCTTCTTTCACTACCCTATCTCAGCAGGTCTATCTGCTCTCAACCTAATCGTCTTTCATTACTGCACGATGAACTGGTAGTGATGTATTTAGCTGTTTACTGTCTCCTCCATTAGACACTGTAAGCTCCATGAATTCAGAGGCTATGGTAATTTTATTCATTAATGCATAACTAGTGACCAGCACATTGTAGGTTTCAACGTTGAGTGTTAAGAATCAATGTTTCGCCCAGTACCATGGTAGGTGATATACATATCCCGCTCAATTCTCACAGTGATTATGGCAGTTTTATCATCTGTTTCACAAAGGTAGTGTATGAGCTGCACCCTGAACCCACTGACTGCAAGACTCAAGCAACATGTGCCTCCTTCTGTGACTCAATGTATTCATTGTTCATGTCATTCTCTTTCTACAAAGACATTTCCTTTCACTCGTTCATACATTCAGAAAACATATGTCAGGCTTTGTACTAAGTGATGGGAACTACAGAGAATGAAAACCTTAGTTTTCAATCTTCTCAGTCTAGCAGGGAACGCAAACAACTACAATGAGCGATAAATGTTATACGAGGCATGTGCAGAATGTTATAGGACAGTAAAGTGCTCAGTTCTGGTCATGTTAACTGTGAAATACCTGTCTCCCTACCTCTGGCATCTGAGGGAGTTGGCACTAAGGAGCTAGATACGTGATCTGGAGCTTAGGTGAAAAGTTTAGGTTAAGAATGCTTGCTATGCCAACATTCTCATATATTCATGTATGAATAGTTGGTTCAAGCAGCAAGTCTGAGGCTGCCTATTAGGAATATATAGAATACAAAGGAATGAAGAGAAAGAAGACATCTTAAAAAGTATTGGCAAGTCCTGGAGGTAAGGAGAAAACTAGGACAATAGCATACCAGGTTTCTAGAATGGGGGATAGGTTGGTATGAAGTCCCAGAAAGGTCAAATGCACATGGATGGGTGTGTTAGATTGGAAACCAGAAGGCTGCTTGGTGTCTTAAGAACAGTTTGGGGAGCAGTGAGGGAATTGGTAGAAATGCATTTTTCAAGATATTTGGCTATGAAGCAGGAGAGAGAGAAAAGGCAGGAGTTCTCAAACTTTATACTCTTAAAAATTATCGTGGACTCTTAAGATCTTTTGTTTATGTTAGTTATGTCTGCCAATTATATCTACCATATTAGGAATGGACACTGAGAAATTTAAAAATTATTAATTCCTTTAAAAATAGTACACGTATGCCATGTCAGCATACCTATTTTGATAAAAAACTTTATTCCCCGTCCCCCTCCCCCACCAAAATAGAAGAGTGACACCGTTTGGTATTTTGCAAGTCTCTTTAATGTTTGACATAATAGAAGACAGCTGGATTCACACAGACATATAGTTGGAAAGGGAAGGTATTTAACAGCCTTTTCACAAACTAGTAGGTATTTTTGTTTGATATGTAGTAAAACTTGACAAGAGGTAACTTCCTAAAAGGTAGCTGCACTGCGGAGGCCAAAATATCAATGAACTTCACATTAGAATCCATTGCACTAGGAATGAATCTTTTATTACCCATATGTGATTCTGACCTTATGAACCTCTTGAAAGAGACTCAGGGATGCCAACTACACCCTGAGAACTGCTGGTTTATGGCTTGTTTTTAGGACTTAAGCTTGGTTGGAGATATAAGAGGGAGAGTAAATACAGTACAAGTGAAGGAGTGAGGCTTGATAGGAGGAAACCTCTTCTTTTGAATCTAGAAAGAGGGAAGAAGTTTGGAACAGATATATTTCAGGGGGATATGTGATTCTGACCTTATGAACCTCTTGAAAGAGACTCAGGGATGCCAACTACACCCTGAGAACTGCTGGTTTATGGCTTGTTTTTAGGACTTAAGCTTGGTTGAAGATATAAGAGGGAGAGTAAATACAGTACAAGTGAAGGAGTGAGGCTTGATAGGAGGAAACCTCTTCTTTTGAATCTAGAAAGAGGGAAGAAGTTTGGAACAGATATATTTCAGGGGGAGGGGCAATTCCCACATGATGTTATTTCCTGAGAAGCCAGAAACGAGGTAACCTATGGCCAGGTAAAAGAACTGCCTAAGTACCATGAGGACCACCTGGTAAGTGCTTACTATTACTTCAAACAACACAAAAGGTCTGGCTGGCTTTCCCCGAGAGCCATCTCCTTGCTTCAAACTGTCACCTGGTCATTCTTCTACGGTAACAGTTACACTGTATTGTCATGTGTCTGCCTTCTCCCCTCGACAGGAGCTTTCCTGGGTAGGACCCAACCAAATTCAACGCTAGCAGCTATTCAAAACACCTGTGTTGAATGAGAGAAAGGGTGATTTTTAAAATTAAAAAATCTTATCTTGTCTAGCTTTTGAATTTGCTCCATTCACATTATTTTTCCCTTATTTGTTCCAATTTCTCTCCACTGTAAGAAGTAAAATATGACTGACAACGCTAGTAATAGAACTGCCTAGTAAATCTAAAAGCCAAAGCTGAAATACAGGGAACTGAGAATAAAAACAGCGATTTAACACCAGGGACAAATGCTGGAGCTCGCCTACACACAAACTTCTCGCAGACGGCATACGGGTACCAAGAAAAGGCAGGCCTCTGACAACTGCCTCATACACATATATTTACACACCTGCCTGCAAGTTCCAAATCTCAGAACTTAGATTTTCAACATACACATTCATACATCACTCCCAACACATACTTGGAAGAACATACATCAAAATACTAACAGTGATTAGATTATGTTTTGGTGGTGATTATTTTGGTGGTTTTGTTTTCATTTGCCTTCAGCATTTTCAATCATGAAAATAAGTTACTCATGCAGAAAAATTAAAACGCTGTCACCTCTTGAGCAAAGTGCTCAAGCTTTTATTTCAATGCACTTAGGAGTAATACAAGCAGGACAGCATATATTGCTTACAAACATCTCCATGACAAAGTCCTCCAACCATTAATACTCACGGTAATGAAAAAACATTCATACTTTCAAATATCGTAACTCAGTCATCTCCATGACAAAGTCCTCCAACCATTAATACTCACGGTAATGAAAAAACATTCATACTTTCAAATATCGTAACTCAGATAAGAATACAAGGTCAGATGATAACTGAGAAACAGAGTAAAACCAGTGCCTGCTTGTGGAACCCAGTGCCTTCCTACTTACATGAACATTGGCAGACAGAATACTGTGCCTAAAGTAAGCCTTCCTACTTACATGAACATTGGCAGACAGAATACTGTGCCTAAAGTAAGACTCAAAAAATTCCTGTCAAATGAATGAACGTTTTAAGTCTGTGGTTCACAAGCACTCTGATCAGGGGAAGCGTGCAGAGGGGCGGAAGGAAGATGGACTTTGAGGTTGCAGGTGCCTGGGCTCTGACACAGCTCTTCTGCAAACCACCTGTGACCAGGTTCAATAACTCACTTTCTCTGGACCTGGGCTTCACCTGAAAGACAGAGATAGTAATACCTAACAGTTGCTGTAAAGATTTAAAATCAGCACATGCACACGGACTACTGTCAATAATAGCGATCCAAAAAAAAATGTAGTGATGATTACATCGCAGAAGTTATTCTCATATTACATTTAAAAAAAGAAATCTGCAATTTCTTTTTAAGCTCAGTTTTGAGAGTAGTGATGAGGGGCTAATAAAAGTAGAAATAAGAAGTCTGAGAATACAGCAAAGCTTTTCAGATAGTGGCAGTCCTATTTGATCAAGCATAGTGTTTAATATATTTATAACCTTCCTAAAGTACATTATTCACTCCCTGTTTTCTTCAGCAAAATATGCTGGATAACCATTAATCTTTATTTTTGGACAGCTACACACCATATTTAGTAACAGGAGCTGGTCATACCTTCTGGATCTATTAAACCACAGCGCTGCCCTTCTCAAACTGCGTATGTGGTATGCCATAAATTAAACTCAACACATCAATTTCAAACACGGACTTAATAAGCAATTTAAAACGTTTAGGATACATTAAAAAGTATGATGACATTCATCCGTCAACTATTTACTGTGTCTACTTTGGGTTGGATACTGAGCCAGCTCCGT